CAATTTTAAAAAATGTGTTTCTCCGGAAGAAAACCGGAGGTTTTCAGGATTTTTTGGAAATATCCGGATTTCCGGATATATCCAGAAGACTTTCATCATTAAGAAAATAACATTTTTAAGCAAGACCTGCAAGAAATCTAAGTATCAGAATATTTTTACTAAGTAAGAAAAATACCAGTGTTCAATGAAGTTCATCCATAACTAGCATTTCTTATGAATTTTGACAACTCTTTCAGAGTCAGTAGTCAATTCAGTTACAGACATATACTAGCTAGCTAAAGCCTAATAATGCACCATGTCATAAACCTGTGACATTATCTTCAAACAAATTTTATATGCAATGTGTCCAAATTTACTTTTATATATGCTGTTAGAAGCAGATATGATGTACAGTAAATAAAACATTACTATTATTCACTTCACAGAATGGGGAAGGAAGTCACTCTCTACATAAGTGACTTTATAGTCTGTACTCAGAAGCTATTTGCTGAACATTTATATCATTATTTTTTCATTAATTATATAATCACAACAAGTGGGCAATGTAGAGAAAAGTTGACAAGAATCTTAAATACATGTTCTTAAAGATAATAATGAGGCAAATATATATTAAAATTCATATAAGGTCATCAGGCTAGCTTCTCAAACAGGTTTTTCTTATACAAAGGTTTGACCATTTGAAAAGATCCTTTGACTTTGTTGCTAACACAGTTTCTAATAACATGAATCACTCAAAGAAATATAAACAAAACAACCTTCAATATTTCAATTAATCTCACTAATTAATTCTGAGAGCTCCTTTGTATTTAACAAACAAAACAATTGATTTCACGCAGTTTTAGTTAATTCTTTACACCAAGTGTAAAATTACTCCATATGTAGGCTCCAAAGGTAGGTAATGGTATAAGAACAATTTAGTAATTTGATAGTTATGTTTTTTGGTTTTTTTTTACATATGTTTGGGTTTGATTGAGTGTACTTTCTTCTTAAGGTTTTTTGTCCAATTGCTGTTATAAAGCACACAGCTAAATGATGAGCTATCTGAGCTGTGCCCACCACAAGAATATTTGAATCACAAATTTTAGCATTACCAGCTCTCAAGCTTACTGCTGAGATACTACGTGAAGCTTGAAAATTATGATGCCTTGAATTAAGCACATAGATCATCAATGAGTCAGGCTTTGTAGGTTGATTCACACATTCTGCTTGTAAATTCTGCAGTAAAATATCCTTACCTGACTGTATTTTAGAATTTGCTCACTAAATGGTTTCAAACAGGCTTGACAGTCTCGGGTAATGTCTTTTAATGCCATTGTGGAAGCTGGTGCCACTTTCGGATTCTGTAGTCCTAACAAGAGTAGAGGTACCACATCTCCCAGAACCTGTGGGTGGACATTGATCCATTCTGCATAAGCTCCTACATGAATGAAAAACAACATTAACATTGGTGATTAGATTATATATAAAAAATAAGTTCAAATAATAAAAGTATTATAATTTTTTTATTACCTTTTTACCTACAGGTATTCATTTGACAGTCTATCCCCATTACTGGTGCTATGCCTTCAAGAGTAAAACCTTGTTTCTATCTCTTTTAATGTTACTTTTTAATTACCTTCAATAAGTAGAATGTAATGGACTGAGCTGTAGTTTTTAATTATCAAAAAAAAACTTTGTAAATCAATACACAGCCTCCTCTTTCAGCCTCCCAGTATCACATTCACTAACTAATAAACCACAGAAATATTGTTTACAGCAGGGTGAACAATTCCCATGAATGCTGTATATTTTCAACAAATAAACTTCTGTATGAAAGAGCTTTTGATCAACATTAGAAGTGTTTATACCTTCCAGAATTATACGTATTCCTGTACTACAAAAAAAAACAAAAAAACTTATAATTAGTGATTTCTAATGTGTTTTGCAAAACAAAACATGGGTAAGCATCATGAATTAAACTTTATGAATATGTGATCGAACAGTAATTAACTCTTAGGAAATAACCTAGTTTAAATAGCATTCTTGATGAAAACAGAGAGCAAAAAAAAAGTGTCTAATTCAACATATAACCTATTTTCATAACCATTTATTATAATCTGAAACAATTCACTAGTTTTCATTACTAACGTGAGTAAGACACAAATAACAGAAAAAAAAACATATAAATTTTTCAGAAAAAAATCACAAGTCATTCATTCCGTGTACAAAATCATTTTGATTTCAGTTAACAACAGTGCATCTATCTAACAATACAAAGAGCTTTAGCTCAGTTAAACACATACACAGACTTCAAGAAAGCTTTAACCTACCTACAGCATCCATTACTGCTGAGAAAATCCGAATATGGTCGAAGGGAACTTTAGGTAGAAAATTGAAAAACTTTGGTAGATAATGTTGTTCTTCAAAAGCAACACTTTCTGCCACTGATTGGAATGCAAATAATGAGGCCTCCAAATGCTGAAAACCACAATAACATGTCAACATGAACAGAAAGTTTATAGAACACTATAATATGAACACATGACAAGGTAAAAATCTAAGAGCATTATAACACAGATTGTGAAATTCTTAAGTGGTGGAAACCATAGTAACATGTTAAACTGGATTAAGTTATGAACACTGTAGAATTAATAATAGTGTCAAAATGGGGGAAACCATATTTAGTTGTGAACAATATAATGTCAATAATAGGAAGTTTAGAAATTATAGCATCAAAACATGCCTCGATTTCAGCATGCTTGTTTACAAAATTAGTATATTTTTTATCATTTTGTATATATTATCAAATATTGCACAATTGTTTTTTAATTTTAAACTATTTTTAATAATTTGGATGGTTTATTAAAAATACATGAAATTAGATTTTCATGTTTTTGAAACTGCTTAATTCTCAAACAGAACAAAATTAACACGATTTCTTTCTGTTTATTCAAACAATATAGTTGAACTAATTGTACGGTTTAAAAACAAACATGGTATATGTTAGAGAATATTAATGGTAACAGACTACATATATAGTAGTACCTGCCACTGGGTCACATCCTTGGAAGCTTTGTCTAATGCTAGTTCCAAGTGACCTAGAAGGTTGGCTAGCATAGCCTCTCGCAAGATATTATAACAGTACATCTGCAAACATAAACAACTGATTAATTCTGGTGTAAATGATCACCAACTTCCATACATTCACTTTAAAACAAAAATTGGTCTATATTATCATAACTGTTAAAAAAAAAAATCTTTCATGTAAACATGTGTAACAATCATGATATGGTATTCTAATACACAGGTTAAATTCTGTATTTAGAAGAAATAGTTCAAGAATTTTGATCATGTAAAAACAAGTATGCACTCTAACACAAAACAACCAGCTAATGGACATCCATTTTTAGCCACATAAAACCTTTTCCAGACCTGAGGAGTACCACTCATACCTTCTGATGTTTTCCTCCTCACTTAAATCAACTTGCAGAAAAATTAGTATAAACTAACTAAATAGTATCTAGTATCTTCCTTAAAAAATTACATAATTTGATTTACTAATTTTTCTTTTTTTTCAGTTGCAAAATTTCCAAAATTGTGTTGTGAGACACTGTTTTGAAAAAAGGTTAAAATCCTTTTTTTTATTGTAGAATTTCATTTTTTTTGTCCCTCAGAAAGCTACATTACATGTATTACTCAGTTTCAATCTTATATGATACTTTAGTACTTTATTTTGCGAACTGAAATATTTACCATTTTCGGCAATAAATCACAGAAAAACATTTCAAAAACTGGCAAAAATATATCAGTGACCTAGAACTTCATCTTTCAAAATGACATCACCTATGTCAGGCTAAGTATCATGATTCTTGCTACTAACATTCTTGGTCAAGATTAATTTATATTTAATAAATATTGTCTGTTTTCAATAAATATTAAGCTATTTTAGTAGTGTCTGGTGTTTGAATAAGTTTGACTTAACAATAATATCCAAAATAATTTGCTTACTAGACTCATTAAACCCAGCTAAGCTTACTTGATGTCTTGCCATAGTATAAAATTTATTGAGCCTTCAAATGGATATAATTTAACAAAAGAATCTTTTTATGAAAGAAAACAATGTATTAAAGAATCTAAAATATTCTTTGATCTATGGTTTGTTCCTAACTGCTGGAAACTTTATTATAGAATTCTTTATTCATCCCCCTACAAAAATTATGGGTAGTTAATATCTCAAGAGACCAAAAATTATTGTTCAAACCACTTTATTTATCTCTTCCATCCCAGGTATCTCTTTAAACACTTTTCTGCACAAGTCATTATGTTATATTCAAAATTTAATTAAACACCTTTATTATCAACGTATGTGAATGAAATTAACATTATAATGTGTGCTATGAATTGAAGTTTTATGTTATATATATTTTAATTCCTTTATTTGAAAAGATACCTTTAAAAAATACTTAAAACTTTAGGTTTTGTTGACATGTGACCAACAAGCTATGAAAAATTTCAGCTTTTGCACTCTCGATGTTCCTTAAAATAATACCAGTCAAGTAGATGTACGCCAAGACAATAATTACGTTTACTTGTCCTATTGACAAATAAGTTTCAAAGTTCTCTGGCTGAATGCAGTAAAAACAAGTAGTAAATTTTGTCAACCCCTTACATGTGCCATGCTCACCTTCTATACTTTGCTTGAGCTTTATAACATACATGTGGTTGCAACATATACATGTATATAGTTATTAGAAAGAGCTCATTTTACACTGTAATCCAACAATGGGTGTTTTGAAATTGGCACTGAGTTGTTGTCATCTGGTAAATGTAACTGCCTGAAGTATTGTTGGCTACTTTATCCACGACAGAACTTAGTTTGTCTTAGCTAAATGTGTTATAGTTAGAGAGACAGTTAAATTGTATTTAGGTGTTATTTTTATATCTTAGTTAATTATGTATTATGCTTTAAAATTGAAAGGTTTAAACAATTTTTAAATATACATTATACTTTGCATAGGTTCTCAAGGCTTAAGATCTTTTGCCAAAGGACTGTACATCTCTGCTGAAGATAATGAATTACACCTTGAGGACACTGTTGAATTGTGCCGAGATAAGTAATAAAAGGTAAAGGACAAGAAAGGAAATTAAAACATTAAAAATTAACTATAAGTAAAAAGGAAAATATCTGAAATTATGAATATAACCAAAAGGTCTTCTAAGATATTCTACAAAAAATTAAAAGGTATGTACATTTTTTTCTATTTCTTAATCTTAAACATATCATTGAACTGAATATTGATGATATGTTCAGTTAATGATATGGTAAAGCAAATGAAAAATAAAATATAAATGTTATCTAAAAAAAACTTTTCATATTCATTTAGGAGTTTCTAGGGGTTATGCAAATAAATCTCAAAAACTGTAAGGTGTAGAAAAGCATTTTTATACTTAAAATGAAAATCACTTTGCATAAGAACTATTAAGAGTTTGAGTGCAAATAACTATGATAAATAATAACATTTTTAATAAAAATACTTAATGAAAATAATGTCATTCTTTGTATACAAGATACGTATAATCTTTAACAAAATGTTACCAACTTTTGTGAGGATACATTAAGAAATCTCAGAGTTACAGGATGTAATGTTGCACTCGTATCATTCCCCAGATGGGGTCAAGTATTTTACACAACCCCACTGAGAAAGACTTATTCTGAAATCACATTTAGCTGTTGGCTATTTTCAAAGCTAAGCTTCATTAGTAATTGCTCAGATTACATGCTATGAAATCGTACAATTGGTGAATGTGTAGCTCATGTTATCCTACCAAATTAAACAATGCATGAGCTACTCACAAGTATACCTCATGAAAAATTTTATTATTTAATTTACCTAATATGATCTAAAAAGTTTCTAAGTACTTACCTGGATATTCTTTTTTGCTGTTGTTGACACTTATCCCTATTTTTTATACTAATGGGACTACTGCACTAAACAGTTCTTTATATAATTAAATAATGCACCAAATAACACATAATAACATGCAAGAGGCAGACAATGTCCCATAACAATCACTACTTTTCTGGCCTTCTAACTATACGACAAGAGCCATTAAATTTCAGTTAAGCTTGTCGACGTGTTTCCTGTGGGAATAAAATTTGAACAGAAATATACTGTAGACAATTCTCCATAGAGAAAACAATATAGTATTTAATGTCAGAGAGAACTATTAGCAATTTTTGAAAGAGAGGATGTGACAGGTGGGTGTGGCAAGAGGGGTCTGATTTTCTATTTTATGTGGCTCTGTAGCCAAATAAGATTGAAAGCTATAAAAAATGTCTTGCCTGAGCAATGACAACATTATATGTAACTTGTGTTAAATTTCATACTTGTAGGAGGGGTGGTAAATAAATTAGAAAAGAGGGAATACCTAGACAGCAAATGTTATAATTCTCATACCAGGAGAAATATGGGATTTTCTTTTAATATTGCCTTATAAAATTAGGAACTTTAAACTTATATAATACTAAAATTTGGATTACTAGCTAAGTTTTATTCCAAAGTTATTTCTATATCATTAAAAGAAAGTAGTTTAGTTATATTTTGAATGTAATTCACTAAAACCTCGTGACATGCTCAGAAAAAGATGCCCATAGCAAGCATTAAACACCTGTTTAAATGTTCTGACTATACTAGCAAATCAACTATTTTAACTTGGTCAAACCATATCAATCAATGTGGAATCAATTAAGTGATCAAATACCATTATCATGCAAATTAGAGCTATTGTAACTGCACGTACATGTAATAACAAAACAAATATTCTTGTCATAGTTATTAGTAGATAAATTAATCATATAACAGAATTACTATAAACACTTATCAACTTACAAAAGAATCTCCTATGTCTTGACGGTAACACCTGAAAGATTCTTTTTCATCTGTAAGAACAAATAAGCATGAGGTAGTCAAATGTATCAGTCATTAACATGAATAAAAGCTACACATAACAAAATTAATTTCTTTCATGAAAATAAAATAACTAACTGTGGTAATGCAATGTCTAAAAAATTTTCAGTTTCTAGTCAAAGATCAAGGTATGTGAATAAATTATAGAGATTATTCACTTGTATTCTTATCTTCCATCACATGCAAAAAAATAAAATGTATCTGATAACTGTAAAAATACACACCATCAAGCCAGTGACTGTATAGATCATCTGGGGGATACTGTACTTTAAGAAGATAAGTGTCAACAAGAGAATGAAACACTGGATTAAATGTGACCAGAAGAGCTTCAAATTGAGGTGGTTCTGATGCAACAATATCATCCTGTTGATTCACGAAATAAAAAAAATAATAAAACATCACTACGTTACAGTCTTTGTTTGTCTTCATTCAACAGATTTTAAGATTTAAACTTTCTACAAATATAAGAATAAAAAAAGGTACCGACTATTTGACTATACTGAAAGATTCCATAAAAATCTGTAACATAAGATTGAAATAGCAAACTTTGATTTTTAATATCAAATTAAATCACATTAATGAACAAATATCATTATGAATTTGTTTAACCCTATGACTACTGGGTCATACAATTTGTAGAACCTAATGTCCCTATTGTTATATTTAATTCCAAAAAATATAGTTATTGTATGAAATTGTATGAAATCTGATAAGAACCTCCCTAAAACTATGTAGTTTTAGAAAAATAAAATATTTAATTGATTTTTTCTACTATTTCTAATAAAAATTCATTATTTAATGTAGTTATTTGCATACAAATGCTGAATAGTTCACCTGCAAGGTGATTTTCATGTTGAGTATTGTTTGTTTTGAATTTCGCGCAAAGCTACACGAGGGCCATCTGCGCTAGCCGTCCCTAACTTAGCAGTGTAAGACTAGAGGGAAGGCAGCTAGTCATCACCACCCACCGCCAACTCTTGGGCTACTCTTTTA